CCCTCTGTCTTCCTCAGGAAACAACCACATCCTCCTGTACAACGTGCGCACAGACCCCAGCGAGACCAGCGACCTGACCGCCACACGGCCCGACCTGGTGCGGACAATGCTGCGTAGCCTGCAGGCCTTCCAGAAGACAGCCGTGACGCCTTTCACACCGCCCAATACCCGTAAGAGCCCCATACGGGATGGGGTCTGGGGGCCATGGATATAACTATGTACCTTCATACAATACACCCAGGAGAAAAGCTACTTCAAAATATATCATGACCACATCCAGTAGAAAAGCTTCCTCAAAATATATCATGACCATGTCCAGTTGAAAAGCTTCCTCAAAATACATTATTTTTCCTATTCTCATGCATGTTTAGATTTTCTTTTTTCTTATTGTACTATTTACATGCAACACACTGTTCTTCCATTATTGTAATGCTTTTTTTAAAACAGCGGTTTATATTGGAACCAAGAACCAAAGTAACTTTAAAAAATGAACAAAATCAATTCATGGGTATTTTTATCATTATTCATTTGATTACCTCTGATTTCAGTAGTTTGTATTTATATTCTCACAGGAAATATGTCTTTCAAACTACATGTCCAGTCTAGCGACAAGTTTCTCCTCAGACGACACCATAGACGTGTGTAGTGACATGCTTCCCTACAACTACTGATCAACCATGAGGCTGGTTGCTTTGACTTGTTCTCCACTTTCTGCCCCCACCCCCTCACCTCCTATGACCTCTCCTCTGGGCTCCTGACTCTTTCTACCGCCTTTCTACTGCTACTCTCTGGCTCCTTCTTACTGCTGTTTTTCAACTACACCCCTGACCTTATAGAAGGTAAGATCTACACCTGGCCTTCTCTGACAAGGGCAAAAGTCTCGCAGGTCCTGTGTGCAAGTTGCACATGTTAAAGATCCCTTGGTAGTCTAAAATTGATAAGAGTAGGCTTCGGCTGCCACCTGGGCAAAATTCAAAATTTCCTAAAAACTGAGAATGTTTCACGTGTCCCGCACGCTCACATGACCTTGTGCATTTGCGAGCGCCGTAAAAAAAATTACAGAAAAGGGTAAGGCTAATCCAGGCTCAGTGGGACCCAACATCCCAGCAAATTGACAGAGAGAGCAGATAAACCATCTGCCCTGCACGCAAATCAAATTCACAGCTTTTGATCACGAGATGTAGAGCCCAACCATTACTATAAAAAAAAAAAAGACTCCAGTTTCAGTTTAAGTAAGATTTTTACAGCTCGTGTAACACAATTAGGTCGTATAAGTGCCGAAGACAAGAAGTGTTACAAGGGAGTCAAAAACAAAAAAAGAATAGAAAAGGATGACAAATGTTTGATGATAGGAGAAAGAAGGAGAAACTGCATCAAACAACCCGCCAACCACCCACAAAGACACCGGTCTTGGTGACTTAAGCCCTCACTTTGAACAGAAGCGACACATCACAAGTTTGACTCACAGAGAACTGTCCACAGTCTTGTGTGATGAGCCCAGCGTTGTCGATGACGGTGATGAAAGGAAGCTTGTTCCTCTTGCCCACCTCGTAGTCGTTGTGGTCGTGGGCGGGGGTGATCTTCACAGCACCTGAGAAACAACAAAATTCGTCCTAAGAATCGCAAACGTGATAAAATGAGCTGCGTCTATTGTGCCTCCGGCTGCTTTGTTTGAGTAAAGAGAGCACTTCGACACAATAATAGTCAATTAGTGCTGGGAAAAAGTAAGACAGACAGACAGACAGGCAGAAATAACAGAGGGAAAGTAAAGAAGTAGGACCCACCAATTATGCCCTCCAACCACCCATCCCCTGGCTGCTGTGGGTGGCTGCTGTGGCACAGCTGGATGTGAATTTTGTTTATTTCAAAGAGTAAAGAAAAATACTCAGAATCTCATGGAGAGAGAGGAAAACAAATAGAGAAGTGCTCCAAATGGTGCGTTGTGAAAGATCTATAACCAGAACCACAAAAAAAGACAACTGAGATTCTTTGGCCACATAAATAGATCAAAAGGACTTGAAAAACTGCTGCTTAGTGGTAAGATAGAGAGAGAAAAGAGAAGAGGAAGACAAAGAACAACATACACAGATGGCGTGAACAACTTAGCAATGAATAACTCAAAAGAGAAAAACCGAGCTGATCAAGAAGACAGACGGCAGGAAGGAATTGTCATCATTATCACCACCATGCAGTGCCCAATCATGGTTCTCCATTCAGGTTCAGGTGCCCAAAAAGAACCTACATTAACTTGGTGATTTCCCCGTCATCCATATTATCACTTTTTCCAAATAAATGTTCTACGTCTACCTGGCCTCGTTTGCCTTCTATTTTTCTAATGAGAGCAAGGTGTTCAAGATCTTTATATCCTTTAAAGCATCCTAGAAACTAGAAACTGCATTTGTCGTTTCGTATTTTTGTTCTAATTAGTGAGTGAAGCACATGGGCTTCTTTCAGTAGTTCCTTATTTGATTTCTTTTCCTTCCATAAGTCATTTACAATAAATTGTGACCAAAATGCACCCAGAGAACAACCATTTAAGACTTAAATACTCTATGACATGGCATCAGGAGGAAGGGAACCAGACTAAAAACTGTAAGACAAAAAGAGCAACACTATATTTGGTCTAGAATGCAGATGAAAATTAAGGAAAAAAATGTTCTTTCTTTTTTATAAAAATCTGGTACATCAACACCCCTGCAAATTCAAAATTATCAAGTCACCGGGTACAGAAGAGCAAGCTTTTCACACGACATAGAATAGACTTTACTTTAAATTCTAATATTTCAACCTCTCACAAAAACTATAATTATACTCCTTTCTTGCTTTTCGATAAATATACGTATTAAGAGAAATTCAACACCACGGTATTTAAAAAAAACCCCAATAATTCGTTACATTTTCATCCATGTGAGCCTTTACTATAACTGACTGTACTTACTTACTTTATTTTCGTCCTCTTTTAACTACAAGGTGCTAAGGGGAGAAAGAGCTTTTTGCGTACTATAACTTCAAAATCATATGAAAAGCCACACATACCTGTGCCGAACTCTCTGTCCACAAACTCATCCAAGACAATCGGCAATTTACGATCAGGGAAAAACGGATGCTGGACAAATTTGCCATGCAGCTGTTTGTAGCGTTCATCCTCTGGGTGAACAGCGACGCCGGAATCTCCCAGCATTGTCTCAACACGAGTGGTGGCCACGACGATTTCTTCCTCTGGGAGAGAAAAATGACAAAACTGTAGCAGTGAACACATTCACCTATACCTACAAATGTTACAACAAAAACTGTAAAGAGAATACCAAGTCAAATGAGTTTTCTCATATCCAAACACAAGCTTTTTCATAATTCTTTTTTCCAGTTCCCAAACTCTAGTTGGCTCTTAGCTAAATCAGTGTCAAGGATAATGAAAATGTGAGCTAAACTTCAAAGTTGCTTCTTTTCTCTCCTCCCCTCCTCCCCCCCATGTTTTTGTCTCTCTCGCGTTTCTGTTTGCCTGTCTGTTCTTGCTATTTTCCAGCATGAAGAGATAGTTGCCTTGTTGATGTGCTTCACTTTACTTAATCTATCCTGACATTACTTTGTCTTCTAGTCTCTTCTACAGCGATGAAATCAAATGAAATCAAAACCAGCAACTTAAGGGACCCCAATCACTAAAACAAATGTTATATATATATATATATATCCCAAAGCTGAATTACATCACATCACTCCTGTGATGTAAGTCAGTCTCCCATGCAGCAGTCAGTATTAAAGTAATCATAAAACAGCCTATTTGAATCTAGATCAACTCTAAAAAGACATCATTCTGACAAATTATGAACATGGCATAGCCAAAGGGAAAGAACTGCAACTTGTCTTTGAAGATTGAAGCCAACAAATCTTAAAACAGCTAAAAAAAAAAAAACACTTTACGAGCAAAGACATAAAAGCTATCAGTCCCCTTCTAGAAAAGAAACAAGGCAACCCAAGGCAACTCGATAAACTACAGCATGGTTCCTGCCGCCTGCGGCTGGTAGAAGAAGGGCACTACTGGCAGGTCTTACTTTTCTATCTCTCTGCTATTTCTGTCTTTCCGTCTTGCTTTTTCCCATCATTAAATAATAGTTGTGTCAAAATGCTTCTCTTTACTCAAAACAAAAGGAAAAATTCTACAGCTTCTACGAAAAAGGCTAGAAGAAACATCTAGATTGTTATGTCCATCCCACAGGAGCTATAACATCCAGGTCAAATGAAAGGGAGGAGCTCTAGCAAACAAATATGAGCTCCAGATTGACAGGGTCAAAAAAAAAAAAAAAAACCCAACTAAAAATCAAAAACTGACTGATATCTTAACAATGCCACAGCTGGAGGTAGAAAAGGCACTCACCAGAGTCGCAGACCTTGTAGGCAAAAGATGTAAGCACGCCAAATTCAACCTTCTCTGCATAGCCTGGGACGCTCAGCAAAGTCCGACCTTCAACTTCTTGCTTGTCCACCTGACAAAATCAGTTTTCAGGGAATGAAAAATTAATATCAGCCTAACATGTGGTATAATCTACTAAATATCTCTATCATTTTTGTAGACAAAATTCAACAGCGTGTAAGAGTGCAAGATCTTACAGATCACATTAAATAGTAAATCTGAAATCTCTCTTTTCCGACAAGTTAACAATCACGAAAACTTTGAGTCCAATTACAGTAACATAGTCTAGCTTTTCTTGAAATTATTTCATTTGATAAATTTTGCCCTGCTACCCTTAAAACAGGAAAACGTAAATGCTTTGAAAGAAAAACGACTTTACTGTATTTACATTTCTGCCAATTAATCCTTTTAAGGTGTTGATAACAGGGTACTCATCTTAGAAAACATTCTCATAATACAAATGATACTATAAATAGAAATGTGACCATGAATGGTGATATCTTTATAAAGCATTCACAATAAGCACCCCACTTTGACAGACCAAACCAATGTGCTGTTACCTCAATATCAGAGATAGCTGAGTTGAGAGCACATGACCAGTTGACGAGACGAACACTGCGGTAGATGAGGCCTCTCTCATGAAGCCTGCAAAAGGCTTCCGTCACAGCTCTGCACAGTTTCTGAGGAATGCAATTTCATATTACATCAGTGATTCCTAAAGTAACTCCACACATGCAAGCTCTGGTATGAGATATTGCATCAATAATTTCAATACAACCAATGGGACATTTGATATGACCAAAGATTATTCCCTGGATTTTCGTGGTCGAGAGGTTGCGGTGTTTGCCTCTCATTCAATAGGTCCGGGATTGGAAACCAGATAGCGATGGAAAATTTTCTCCTCTAAAATTGTCTTCATTCACCTCCTTTCCTGCTCTCTAACAAAGTTCCAATGTCTGCTTTCATCTCCAATTTCTGCTCCCACCCCTTCACCTCCTTTGCCCCCCTCCTCTGGGCTCCTTACTCTTTCAGCAGCCTTTCTACTGCTACTCCTTGGCTCCTTCTTACTGCTGCTTTCAGCCGCATTCCTCGTCTTATGGTAGATAAGATCGATCTAACACCTAGCCTTCACAAATAAGGGCAAAAAATCTTAAGGTCCTGTGTACAAGTTGCGCACATTAAAGATCCCTTGGTGGTCCAAAATCACTAAAAGAGCAGGCTTCAACCGCCACAAAGACAAAATTCAAAATTTCCAAAACAAAAATGAAAATGTCTAACGTGTCCTGCACGCTCATGTGACCTTATGCAGTTGCGAGCGCCGTATGACTTACCAAAAACAAAAAAAAGATTACTTCATAAAACAGGTCAGTCACTACCTGAAAAGACCACGCCAGGAGGGCTTAAAGCCATGAAAACTCCCTCCACAGCCCAAATGCCAAAACATCCAGTTAGATCAAGAGGGATTCTGCGCCACAGTCCAGGAAGAGTTTTGCATGCCAGTATGGAGGAAATATTACATCCCTATGACTTACTGTAGTCTTTATACTACTTCTCTACTTCGGGGGCTCTCGTGGCCTAGAGGTTAAGGTGTTGGCCTCTCATTCAAAAGGTCCCGGGTTCGAATCCGGGCAGCGACCGAAAAATGTTCTTCTCTAAAATTGTCTCCTTTCACTTTCTTTCCTGTTCTCTAGCAATGTTCTGCTGTCTGCTCTCATTTCCACTTTCTGCCCCCACCCCCTCACCTCCTTTGCCCCCTCCTCTGGGCTCCTGACTCTTTCTGCAGCCTTTCTACTGCTTCTCCTTGGCTCCTCCTTACTGCTGTCTTTCTGCCACACCCCTGATCTTCTGGTAGGAAAGATCTACACCTAGCCTTCTCGGACAAGGGCAAAAAATCTCGGAGGGCCCGTGTGCAAGTTGCGCACGTTAAAGATCCCTTGGTGGTCTAAAATCGATAAGAGTAGGCTTCAGCCGCCACCCGGGCAAAATTCAAAATTTCCTACCAACTGAAAATATTAGGTGTGTCCAGCGCGCTCATATGACCTTATGCAGTTGCGAGTGCCGTTAAACACTTTACAAAAACAAACAAACATTCTCTACTTCTCAATTTTCATTCAAGGCACAAATGACTTGTGGCGTTATCCCAAAAGGAAAAGTTATTGTAGGTACATATGGAAGTCACACTAGTGAGCAAAATTACGTCATAACAGACAACAGTAATGTGTAAAGGTCACCATTTTATGTCCTTTGATGATGATGTACGTGGTTAACTTGGCCGACGTTGGTAAGAAAATATCTATCACAAAGGATAAAGGAAAAAAAATCATTAATACCTTCATACTTTTTTTCCTTGCTTCTGAATTTCCTTGTGAGAAATAAGAGGCAGCTTTTGAATGTGCTTAAAACACCAATCAGAGATGCTTCAGTTTCTGAAGTATGGACTGTTTTAGACCAGGCACTCGATCTCACCTACCCTAGTATCTGGACTGAGAAAATCTCAGGTGCTTTGACATGGGAGGGAAGCATCACCATTTCAACATGGACTACCCAACCCCGTCCAGACTATTTCTTCTTCCTCCTACACCAGAGATTATACTGGAGCAGCTGAACCCTAAAGGCCCCAGACACCAAAACAGTGGTGAGGACTTACTTCATCCATGGTGAAAGAGACACGGTCCCAGTCATATGAGCCACCGAGAGCATACAGCTGCTCATAGATGTTATGGCCTTTTCTGGGGACAATAAGAAGACAATATAAGAGATAAAATATATAATATACAAATATATAATACAAAACAATCTCAATATCTTTGAGACAAATGTCAAAGTATCCTAAAACCACATCAAAATGAGTATGAAGATGAGGAAGAAGAGAAAGAAAAGGCAAAGAAAGAGGAAAAAGGAGAAGATAGACAAGGAGGAGGATGAAAACAACAACAATGAAACGGGCAAGGAGGAGGGGCAGGAGGAGGAGAGGAGGAAATGCTGTTACTCACTCCTCCTTCCACTTCCAGATTTCTTTGGTGAAAGCTTCTCGTCCGAGATCGTGCCTGGTCTTGCGCTGTTCCCTCCACAGTTTTCTCTCCACCACGACCTGCGTGGCGATACCTGCGTGGTCACAGCCAGGAACCCACAGTACCACTTTGCCCTTCATGCGGTGCCTTTAGAGAGAAATTATTTTTTTTTAAAGTAAAACTAGTACAATATTGTTTGTTTGAGTAAAGAGAAGCACATCGACATAATGATGGTCATTTAGTGCTGGGAAAAAATAAGGCAGACAGACAGAAACAACGGAGGGAAAGAAAAGAAGTAGGACCTACCAGTGGCGCCCTCCAACCACCCCCCGTAAACTAGCATGAGAATAATTCACTGAAACACATTTATAACAAAATCTTTTCAACAAGTAGCTTTGGCCGGGGGGGGGGGGGGGGGGGGGGGGGGGGGGAGGTAGAAAAAGTTATCTCCTGTACCTGATCCAGCCTGTGACTTATTGGCTACCAGTCACAAGCCTATTTTAAATGTACAGATGTCTTTGTGAGTCATTCATGTTTGTATATATGCGTTCGCTTGTGTAAATAATGATCTATGAGAGCTCAAGCTCAGTAGCACACATGCTGGTAAAATGAAGAGCTGAGTTTTAATTTGAGTAAAGAGATGAACACTGGCACTCGTACAATCACTTCGTGCAAGGAAAAAGTAAGACAGACAGAAACAACAGAAAAAAACGCAAAGAAGTAGGACATAACAGCAGCACTCTCCGACCACCTGTAGGTAAAAAAAGTACGGAAACAAACATACAAGCAACTATTCCCTCACCATCTAGCCAGGCAGTCCTCGATGGAGTTAGTGAGTCCATGACCCAGATGGAGCGTGCCTGTCACATTGGGAGGCGGGATCATCATGATGAATTTGTCCTCATACGGAGTTGCTGCCAAGTCTCGGCCCTGTAGCAGCCGAAGAGAAATGTATACAGCTTCGTTAAGACATTATATTATTGTGTACTTCACTAGCTTTCCCTGGCTTTACATCTTACTTTACTTTTACTTTTTCCTTCCTCTGGTATCCTTAGGATGTCGAGGGGAGGTGCAAGTTTCGGTCCTGTGCTAGGTGTGCAGCGTCTGTGATAGATATGTTATGTTGTTCCAGGACCTTTTTAACCCCATCCAGCAAGGTCTTTTTTGGTCTTCCTCTTGATTTGAAGCCAGATTCTCGGGTGTTGTAAGCTCTAGCTGCTAGTTATTTCTGGTTAGATGTGCAATTCATTTGACTCTGACGCTCTATGAATTATATTACTTTTGGTATTCCAGTTTGTAGACATATGTGAGGCAGCGTGGTGGAATCAGGCTCTCGTCAATTTTTGGGCATGTAGAGTTATTGGTATCATCTTAAAGCTTGTTCACTTGTCTTTATTTGGATGCAAAAAATATCCATTTATCTTGAATACAAGTCGAGATATTTGCAAATGAAGGAGGTGGAGGTCACCTGTTTTCAGAGGCAAAATTAGGGAGGAAATGACCGCCAAAGATTAGTTATTTCCTTAGCTTAAGAGTCCGTGGTAACTGAAGATTTACATTTTTTATGCCTTTTATCAAAGCTTTTCAGAAAAATCCACATAGAAATGAGTTCTTTAATGGGCATGAAAGGTGTTTTACCAAGTTTCTATACTTTGATTATTTTGACGAGAGCCTGATTCCACCACGCTGCCTCACATATGGTTCCGTTTCTTATGCGGTCTCTTCCGGTGACGTTGATGGTTTCGCGAAGACACCTCACTTTGCATGCATTGATATTTCTTTCTTGTACCTTGTTTAGAGACCATGTTTGGCACTGGTCTGTTAATGTTGGTATAAAGATGCAATTGATGAGCAGGGATTTCATTTCGGTTGGGATGTTCTTATGACTGAGCAAGGGTGCTAGCTGGTAGGTCACTGCATTTGCCTTCATAGTTCTTGTTTCTATTTCTTTGTCCATACGCCAATCTTGTGTGAAGATGATTCCCAAATATTTAAATTCCTCTACTTATTGGAGTTGTGTTCCGTCAATAAGGATGTTGAGTTTCCCTGGGTTTCTGCTGACCTTCATAACTTCTGTTATTGAGATGGAGATTTTCATGTTTTAGACGTCCTGTTAAAAATTGCTGCTCTAATTTATGATTTCAACATGCGGCTGAGAACCTTAGTAATCATTATCACAACGTTGAAAATAACAATTAAAAGTTCAGGGACTGAAATGGCAACCGTTTTTAAAAAGCCGAAAGGAAGGAAAATATCACATCCTAAAGATGATCAAAGGCATGGACTATGGACTCCTTCTAATTAGCAGAAACTATAAATCCTTGGAACTTACTCCATATTCAGGCTTGAAGAATCCTTCCTTGACCCACCATTCATACCAAGCTGCTTCCACATATGCTGGGCTGTAGGCATCAGGCATGGGGCACTTGGTGTCTGCGGAGAATAAAAATTGTAGCAAGTTAGGGTGTAACAAACAAAATTTAGATAGGAAGCCTGCTGCTCCAGTCCTGCCAGTCAGGGTCAACCAGGGATAAGTGAGAGGTAACAGCCTGGTACAAAGACAAAGACATTTGCAAAAAATAAAACCTCTAAATGCCAATTCTATTCTTTTGCATGCAAGGGAGGGATTTCAACTCTATACTAGATGTGCTTGTTCGATATGTTGACGGAGCAAGAACTCATGCAACAGACGAGTTCAGCTTTTGCCATTTTGCATAATGTCGAGCAAAAGCTTTGTTTTAGTAAGTGTTTTACGGCACTTGCAACACAATAAGGTCATATAACTTAAAGATAAGTGCAAAAGATACTAGATGTTATAAAAGAGTAACAAACACAAAGAGGAGTGATTTTGTAAGGACAATAAATGTTTGATGCGAAAGAAAGAGCAAAAAGACCAGAGCACCCACCAACCATCCACAAGCACAAGTAAGCCTGCATCAGCTGTTTCATAGCTGCTGATAATGAGTTGCACTGCACAGCCATTTGGCATATTAAAAGGTCTAACAGAGGCTTTACACACATAAAACTACACAACAAAGTTGGTACTAATTAGTCTCAGAGTTTTATGGCTCTAGCAAAACAAATAGATGCAAGCAGCAAGTACCAAGATTAGAGGAGTTACCAGAGAGTAAAATACAAAGAAAAGGAGAGATAAGGATCTAAAAATAATTGATAGGAAAGAAGGAGCACCAAGAGTACCCACCAACCATCCACCTACAAAACAAGGAAGCACAAACTTTTATCTTTTAACCAAAGCAGATTTACTGTCTGATGCACTGCATACAATACCTTTTTTGGCACCTTTCTCTGTTGGGACATCATATGTAATCACCTGCTTCTTCTTTCCTTCATCTTTCTTTTTCTTGTTCTGAAAAGAAATAAGACTAAAACTGCAATACAACGTCCAGATTAACTGTTGCAATTACAACAATTAAAACGAGAAAATCAATGAAAAGAATCTATAGGCCTAATATTAAACAACAATGTAAATTAACTCAAACTAAATAATGCCTTCTCAAAAGTGTTGTGATGTACTTCTTGTAATTTTTATAACAAACTTAAACAAGAATCTATATATATATATATTAAAACTACACTACTTTTAAATTATCATAAAATGCCTACCCACACCCTGTAGTGCCACAAAAATGTCTAGATATATTCCTTTATTATTATACTATTAAACAAGGATCTATAAATACACTTAAAATAATTATGCCGTGCCTAGTGTCAATGCAATATATATATTTTTCTCATAATCATAGGAAAACAAAATGGAATAACAGTCATTTCTATTGAAAAAATTACATGCACAATAATTGTCATTGCAAGCATGGACATTTAACTCTTAAAGCGCAGCAAATGTTTGTTTTTTCTCAAGAAACTAGCTGTCGCAATGAGCTCCCCTTTTCCTATATTAAAAATTCGAAGCGGTATCATGAACGGTGACGTGATGTCATCACATTGCACTGTCAGCGATGAAAACACGCAGGCTCAGTGACAGGCAATGTAAATAGTTAGCAAATGTTGAAAGCGGAAGTTAGTTAGGGCTGGACTTAGAAGTAGAAGAAAACAACAATTCAACGGCACTTCAAATCATTGAAATTTGGGGTGGACATATTCATCATATATTTTATTTAAGGAAAAAACATTCCACGGCGCTGTGAGTAGTTAGCGAATGTTGAAGAGAGGAAGTTAGGGCTGGGCTTCTTGCATGGAAGAAAAAAACATTCTACGGCGCAGCGAATAGCGGAAGTTAAGGCTGAACTTATCCTATAAGAAAAAGAAAAACATTCGATGCCGCTGTGACCAGTTAGCGAATGTTGTTCAGCCATAGCGGAAGTTAGAGCTGGGCTTTATTATTATATTTTTTAAAAAAAAGATATTTCGACAGCGGAATTGGAATAGCATGCATAGTGAGCTCACGCTTCAAAGCTTTGATGAAGTTTTGTTTATTCAAAATTGCACAGCATTACTTGATCTAGATCTAGACGTCTGCTATTGAGGCAAAAATCAGATAATCGGAACTGGTTTAAAATCCCCTTGCTTTTTACTTCTCTGCAAGTCTAGGCCAAGAACAAAACTAGATTCACTAGACAGATCTGTCCGGATATTGGACAACATCTACCTACTCTAGAACTAAAATCCAGATACCCATGCCTATGGTTTTTCCTTAGAAAGAGGCTATTCTCCGGCGTCGCGCCGGTCAATAGATCGCAAGCTATTCTCCGGCGTCACGCTGCCGGTCCATTACTAATAATTTGTCTGCGCATATTTGCAAAAGCCTCTCTCATCTGTTTGTCTTGGGAAAAAATTCCCATAACTTCACCTCTTCGTGCCTCTTCCATTGATACAAACGATAGGTTTTCAGAAACAAACTGTCCCAATTCCTCCAATTTAGAATTATGTTAGGTGCTAGAAGAAACGTGTTCACCAAAAGTGACCCGAGTTCATAACAAAAAGTGAGCATAAAGAAGAAGTTACATTTTCACTGTTTACAAAAAAATGGAGATATGACAAGAGAAAGCACTGAAGTCGCAAAATATCGTTACATTTATCGAAAATTATAATAACAAGAGATAAGTTCAATAGCAAGATGACTAGACAGGGATATTAGACACAAAATCAAGTTTGTTCGTTTAAAGAAACAGCTAATCATTATTTTAAAAAGCAAAATGACTACACAAATGAATAAATAAAGCTACGTTAGACAATTATCAAAGAGATAAAATATAATGAAAGTATGCTTACTAGGCCTACAGATCTAGATCTAGTTAAATTGTATCTCAAAATCTGCGTCATTGCAATTCATTATTATAGACCGGCGGTGTGACGCTGGAGAATAGCTTCCGATCTATTGACCGGCACGACGCCGGAGAATAGCCACTTGCTTTTCCTTAAGCCTAAGCAGTTGAGTAGTGTAGGAGTTCCACAGAGGGCTGGCCGACCAACAACACCTGGCGACTGTTAAGAATCCCACGTTTAAAATTTCAATAGCGTTTTTCAGAGTTAGGGTTAGGGCCAGGGTTAGGGTTAAGGTTAGGATTAGGGTTAGGGCAGGGTTAGGGTTCAATGCGAAACATGCCTGAGGCTATGAAAAACGAAAACGAACACATCAGAATTAAGAGCAGGAATCTTAACAATCGTCCAACACCTAACCCTACTCTAATCTAGATCTACTTCTAGATTCGGTGATCTTGTAGTTCCGTTCGTTAAAGTCCACGATCCATTTGTTTACATCCAGAGAAGAAATCCAGAAGTCTTGAAGACCAAATACTATTTGAATTAGGCTACACAAAGAGCAGGGATGCAACCTAACTGCAAAACATCAAATTAGGATAAAATTCAGGGGGGCATGCCCCCCTGAACCCCCCCCCCCTCCATATTTTTTTAGGTCGGGGGGGCAAGCCCCCCTGAAACCCCCCTACTCTTGACTTTAACGAACAAAACTACAAAATCGCCCTAGATTCTAGTGTCAGTGTAGTTTAGTATGCTCAGTGGACCATGTCATTGCATGTGCCGGCCCTCTGCGTAACTCCTCGGACCATGTCATGGTATGTGCCAGCCCTCTGCGGAACTCCTCCCGCAGTAGTGAAGGGTGTATAGAAATACAGTAGACAAAGGCAAAGGATGCCAGCAGTAGAGTTGCTATAGAGAGCGAAAGTCATGAAAGTGGGGAATGAGGCTGAGTTTGCCATGGGCCATGGAATAGTGTAGATCTCTAGATCTAGATCTAGATTTCTAGATCTAGATAATCTAGATCTAGAATGAATTTCAAACTTACATCTGATGACTCATCAGGGTTTTTCTTTTCTGCTTGCATCTTCTTCTTTTTAGCCTCGAACTTCTCCAGTTTGGCTAGTCTTTGTGCTTCCTTCTTCAATTCCTTTTCAGTCTTCTGCTTCGGTGCTTGACCATCTGCTGGGCCCGCATCCCCTGCCGGCGCAGGGTTACTTGCGCTATTCTCCGACATTTCTTACTACAATGTGTTTTCTTGAACCACTGAAGATCCCTGAATGAAATAGATCTAGTCTAGCGAGGTCCACAACACGGAAATATTTTATACACAAACAGAAAGCTGATTTTGTTATGTTGCATCAGATGTTGCTGTTTATGATAGTTTATCGTTCACGTTGTAGAAGTACAGTACACTGTACACGCCCACGACGACAGCATGAGAGGAACGAGAGAATTTATCGATTATACTTGACTTGGGATAGGCTAATCGTAAACTTCTTTTGTGCGTGTGTTACCTTCTCTTTGCTGTGTCTTAACCGGGTTATTTCCCATTTCTCATTCCATGGGCCAAATGATTAATTATTTAGAATCTATTATTTCATCAGCTGTCGTCAGCTTATAAACCGTGCTTGGTCTTCAGATTTCAAACTGTTCCATCATAAGCATCATCAGTTCTTTTAAAAGTAGTACCAAGTTTAGCATCTACTCGTTCAAAACATTCCCATATCTTGCAAATGAACTGTGTCTACCTATTATTATATTATTAGGTCTAGATCTAGATCATAAAGACATTTCAAAATGATGCAACTGACAAGTTGGTTTTTGTCTGTCTTTGCCTGAGAAATATAGGCTAGCAGTATGGAATTTGATTGTAGACATTTTTAGCTTTTTCAACCTCTCCTATAACTATTTCATTGCATAAGAACAAAAAAAACGTATTTTTTCCCATACCGGACATATGTTTGTCACCGCCATTACCTCATATAAAGTCAATATTATTTTCTTTTTCTTTATCACCGTTTCCTCAAAACGCGACTTTTCTCTGTACTTTTTGAATAACTCCACCATTTTTCATCTATTCTTTATGAAATTTTCACAGAATAAAGAGAAGATGTTATACTAAATATTTGTTTATTGAATTATTTATAATGGAATATATTTTTGGTGGTGGTGTCTGGAGCGTGGATTTTCTCGGATTTTTTGCAAACTTGAATGCTACCTGAGGAAAAAATTCATTAAATCTTTTAAATTCGTTTAGGAAAAAAAACCCAACAAATAGATTTTTAGATCATACATTTGTTAATACGCATGCAAACAAAAAACAATCAATTTCCAAGAGCAATAAGGGCGGTATTCATTACGTAAGACATGCCAACAAAATCCAATATGGCCGCTGTATCCAAGGAAACGAAACTTTTTTTTTTTCAAATTTGATTGCGGATTTTAAGACTTCTTACTATGCTTGTTGTATTTGTGATATTTGGTAAAATTCGGTCCCGTAATAAGCGAGATAGCCTTCAGGTGTATTTTGCCCGGGTGACGGTCGATGGGGGCGGGGGGGG